TTTTTATAGAAAATACACAAGGAAGCTACGTTGCGAGGGTAGGAAGTGATCGAAGTTGAGATGCCAGATCAAGAACAATAACATTGCAGATTATTATTGCAACATGAGGAAAACCGTATCCCGCTTCGACAGTTACTTGTTTTATCAAGGGTTATGTCCTCAAAGGTAAAAACTCTGTGGGATTTGAGAATATGCTGCTGCTACTGTTCCTCTAAATAATAAGAATAGACCCGGTCTGCGACGATTTCAAGCAACACCTACTCATAAGCAGATGAATGGAAATAAAAGCCTAAAATAGACGTGAGCAAATAATAAGGTAGTTATTCTCGCATTCGTCTCTGCTGTCCACAAAATATCGTGTTAATGAGTACTACAAACATACTAAGAAAAACTATTTCAGTAAGTGCCTAAGAAAAAGTAATTCACCTTAGGTCTCATCTGAAAGTTTTGCTAAATGATTAGATCAAACAGCAAATCAAACGAAAAAAAAAATAATACCTGAAAGCTGCCATGTCTCTGAAAGGCACTGTCTGTTTGAGGTCGTAAGTTTTGATGGTGAACGTCCATGATGCAAAATCTCTGGTTGAAAACTAAAAAAAAAGGTAAGTGCGAAAGAAGGGGAGATAATGATATCTGAAATACAAAACATTGGGTTAATGAGTACTGATCTTATACTTTGAGAATTCTTTTAATTCAATAAGTTCCAAAAACTTTACTTATCTTGGGTGAAAGACTTGGGAAATTATTTTATCATGCAATAAATCATTAACAGTATTAGTAGTAGTAGTAGTAGTAGTAGTAGAGTGCCGCATGTAAGTACTCATAGTGAAGAAAACAACAACAACAACAAGACAAAGAACAACAACAAGAAGAGCAAGAAGAAGAGCAAGGAGAAAGGATGAGAGAAGAACAACAGGAACAACAATAGCAGCAATAACAACAACAATAATACGACCAAAAAAGACAAAAAGAAGAACAAGAATAAGAACAAAAACAAGACGAAAAATAAGAAGAAGACGAAAAATAAGAAGAAGAAGAAGAAGAAGAAGAAGAAGCGGAAGGAGAAAAACAACAATAACAACAACCAGAAGAACAAGAAGAAGAGCAAGAAGAAGAAGAAGAGAAGAAACAACAACAACAATTATAGCAACAACAAGAAGAAGAATAAGAACAAGAAGCACAAAAAGAAGGACAAGAAGTAAATGGACATGAAGAACAAAAACAACAGCAACAACAACAACAACAACAAGACGAAAATAAGAAGAAGAAGAAAAAGAAGAAAAAGAAGAAAAAGAAGGAGAAAATACAAGAAGTGGAAGAAAAACAACAAGAAAAATAGCAAGAAGAAAAAACAACAACAACAATGAGAATATGAAGAAGAAAAATGATAAAAAAAACAACAACAGCAACAGCAAAAATAAGAATAAGACAGATAAAAGAGCAACAACAACAACACCAACAACATCAACAAGAACAAGAAGAACACGAATGAGAAGAAGAAGAAGAAGAAGAAGAAATGTAGTGTTGTTGTGGAACTACAATTGCGCGCCCCAAATTTTTAATGACCTAACATGGGAACTATCAATTTGGAAAATGGATCTGCATAGCAAACTTTTCAGCATATCCTGTAAATAAAAGGGGGGTGAATTAAGATCAGAAAAAAAAAAACACTGGAAAATAAAATATATGATTTTTCTTTTCTTTTTTTTTCTTTTTTTTTTTTCAAATTTTCAACTCGGGATTTTGTACATTACTTAATTTTGGCGCTATTATTTTCAAGCGAAATCATTAGTAATTAAATTCCTTCTACGGTTTCTTGGCCCCAAAAAATAGAAATGAAAGATATTTCCTTATAACTAGACTAATTCATTTAGTAGGAATCTTGAATGCAGTATAAAATAACTTCTTTAGTAACTACAGTAGAATCCCTCATATCCGGAGTGACGCATATCCGGAATACCTCATATCCGGAGTGCCTTATATTCGGAATCCAGTATATCCGGACATGATTTTGATGTGTGTATTTGAACTACTTGGGTGATATGTAAATGATTTGAAATTTCTGTTTTTCAGGAAATTTACTTTGGATAATTGCTTGTGTCTATTTCACCCTAATGGCTTGTATTGGTGCAAAAGATGATGGGAATAAGAGGAAAGGATGACAACGAGACAAATCTGCAACAAGATAGCGACGAGATGCATGACTGTGATGAAAACTGGAATGAAATTGAAAAAGCTATTGAAAAGGTTGTCAGTTTTATGGAAAGAAAGCCAGCATTCAGCAATAACAATTGTAATAAAGCACGCTGAGTTAAAAAGTGTTTTTCATTTAAAAACATTCAAGAACAAAAGCAAAACGAAATGCGGAAAAATTTGAGAATGACATTAGAAGAGAAAGAATCATGATAAAACAGCGATTAAAAAATCCTCGTTACATTATTTGTTTTGCATACGTGGCATACTTAATTTAATGAATTTTCATTAACATTATATAATTTGTTTTCTTTTTCTTTAAAATCAATTCTGTTATATTTCACTCACCATTAGCTTATTTTGTTTATTACAAAACATTGAAAATAAATGTTAAACCTGATTTCAGTTCTTTTATTTTAATCTAAATATAACCGCCTCATATAACGAATTCCTCATATCAGGAAGGCCTTTTTTAGTCCCGTTGTCAGGGAGTCTACTGTATTAACGTTAGTATCAAGACAGCGCAATTCTTTGTCAGTTGGTGTCTGCTGCAGTTTATACGCACAGATAAAACAACGTACATCCATGTCACACACATTCTCACGTGTAGACGCAGTGTGATTCTTGTATACTAACGCAATTGATTGGGTTGTATGGAAAGAAGATACACAATATATTTAGTTTGAAGTTGTTTCGCAACGAATCTTTGTCATTCATTTCTTTCCGTTTGAAAGAAATATAATGCTCAGATAATAAGGATATTATTTAAATTTGTCGAGCCGTGTTGAAGATTCGCTTATCTCTGTTTTATTTGCGTATATTCCGCTAAAATATTTTTGTTTAATTTCACATTTTTCTTCTTTTATTTTTTAGCTGCTTCATCCACACTGACGTCAGTGGTAGAGTTAAATCAATTTTACTCAAAGTTTGGGTATAGTTGCTTATAAATGAATTCATAATAAAAAACGTGTAAATCAAAAACGAAAATGAAGAGGCTCAATTGAAATCGAAAACATTTAAACTGTAAGCGCCATTTAGCCCAGATCAAATCTACGATTTCATATGTTCATTTTCAAGACAGTCACCCCCGTTTTTTTACCTTGAAAAATTGACTTAGTACATAGCAGTCGACTTATTTATATTTCATTTTTGAATTTATTAGATCTACATCATACTTATTATAAAACCCAGGTTGTGTGTGTGTGCATGTCTGTTCGTTTATATATTGAATCGGATTTCCTACATTTTTCAACGGATTTCAACAAAACTTCACAGGACTACGTAAAATTACCTTGCGGTGGTTCTGACAGCGCCAAAAATTGGAAAAACACAATTGTTTTTTGCACGAAATCAATTTGAAAACACGATTAAAAGGCATCGCTGTCGCGAGAATGAAACTAATATCGAGTTATACTTATTATAAAAACCCAGGTTGTTTGTGTGTGTGTATGTGGGTGTGTGTGTGTGTTCGTTTATATATGGGATCGGATTTCCTACATTTTTCAACCGATTTCAACAAAACTTCACTTTTTTTGGCAGTTAGTGTTTCTTATTGTCTTGCACACTTTTTTCTTTATTTTTACATTCAGAATGCTTTAAAAAATCCATTCACAAGACAATTTTTTATAATAAAATTCTATTCAATCGGTAGACTCATAACGATTGAAAACAATGTTTTTGTTTGAGTTTGACCAATTTGTAAAAAAAAAAAAAAAAAAAAATAAAAAAACTAATTAAGACATGCGTGCCCATCAGCCTTAAACAATAATCTTTGTCAATTTTATTTTTCAGTCTTTATGATGGTCGATACTTGATCTATCTCTTACCGTTACTTCCCCGGGCAACGCCGGGAGTTACTGCTAGTTCTGTATAAGCTATGCCTTACCTATACTCACTTATTTTGATTTTTTTAAGCTTTACACCCCAAGCAAGGCAGGAGTGCCACTACCACGCAAGGGGTTACAGAGAATGGGAGCAAGAGTAAAGAGCCGTGAAAGAGGAAATGATGAAGAGAAGGACGAGGAATGCATCAAGGCATCTTGAGATGCCGATTGACATTGCATTTGAATAGTTGGAGATTGTAGCTATCAGGTAAACAAGTAAGAGGAAGGGATTTCCACAGACGGGAAGTGGGGAAGATGAAGCCATTGGAGTAGAAGAGACGGCTACATTTAACCGTTTCGACAGTGAAAGGGTGGGACCGAGATGCCAACCAAGTAGCACGTTTAAATTCATGCAGTTTGGGAAACAGCGAATGTAGCTCGTCGGAGCAATTACCATGAAAGTATTTGTAGAAAAAACAGCGGGAAGCGACGTCTCGTCTGTGAGAGAGCGACTGTAAACGAGATGCCAGATCAGGGCCAACCACATTTCATATCCATCTAGTTTTGGCTAACAAACCTCAAGACCTAGATGACTTGTTTTTTCCCTATTGCCATGCTCTTTCTTTCGTTCAGAGGTTTTCCAGAGAACTGATTTTAAAAAGGTCAATATTATTCTTTATCTATTGACGGACAGACAACTTTTCACGTTTTGGACATGAAGATTTCATCTCTACAACGAAAGATATGGGAATAATAAAACTGTTCCATGCATCTTTAAAACTTATTAGTCCAGGCCGTAACATAAAATCCCATAAAAATTTCACACCCCAGAGTTAATTTTTATTAAACATTCTAATATGGTGCAAGAAGTCACCAAATCGTCAATTTGCTCCGCAAATCACGATTTTCAAAATGGCGGAAAATCGGGCAGTCGAAATTTGGTCATTAGTGAAAGATTTTAGAAATATACATTTTGTATACTGTTACGGCCATATCACGTTGAAACGACTGTTCTCGTCCGATCACCGATGTTAAGCAAGGTCGAGCCTGGTCAGTAATTAGATGTGTAATCGTTTGGAAATATCAGCTTTTGTAAGTTTGAGAATGTGTGGATGGTGTAATGGATAACGGCTCGGAATTAGAAATCGAAGAGCAGAGTTCCAATTCCAGGCATCCACTTACATACAAATATCCTTGTGAAAGGTAGAATGCCACCTCTTTCCCTCGCATATGGGTTAAATAGTAGCACGTGTGAGCTGAAAAATCATTGTTACAGATAAAAGTTATTTCTTACCCTTACAAGATGCCCTGATACCATTATGGAAACGAAAGACTCATCAAACCACATTGAACTGTGGATAGAATTGAGTTTTGTGAGTGAGCGATGTAGGTGGAACAAGGCTTCTGTGATGGTGCCGTTGGGAATTAAATTTATAGGTTTAATAATCTGATATTCTTCTATAACAACATAATCCCGTCAAAAGAGATAATAATAATAATAATAATAATAATAATGAGAAGAGGAAGAATAACATCAACAACAATAACAACAACAATAGCAACAACATCAACAACAATAACAACAACAATAGCAACAACATCAACAACAATAATAAACTAGATACTACAATTATTGGGAATACTCGGTTATACTTATTGTTGGAGCATACCTACGGACGATAATGGGTATGTCCCCATTCACATAAATACTGTATTTTAATAGTAAATACTGTATGTTGGTCTGCTGTTAGAGATTCGTCTCTAGCTGTGCTTGTCAAACTCTGTGCCTCTGGGGAGAGAGGATCCCCAGACGAGGCTATGTCGAAGGGTACAGTCTCGTCTCGGGAAACAGCTACCCGACTCCGTTTTATACGGGGTTACGAGGAATTTTTGGCCGAGACTGTGGGCTCGGTTGACCCACATTAAATTCGGCCTTGTGTCACATCTGTCCCCGTGGGGCGGTTGGTAGATATCCTAGAAATTGGAGATTCATTATGGAATTCACTTGACTCTGTTCTAGCAGTTGACTACTTCTTTTACGCGCCGCTGGCGAATCTTATATGTGCTGTTCTTGTCCTAAGTATTATTGTTTCTTACCAACCTCCGTGTGATTATTCTATTCAGTAACCTCTCCTAGGTTAAAACACTTATGTATTCTTGTTATTATTATAATTACTATTATAATTATTATTATTAGTAGTAGTATTCTGCTTGTCCCTCCCATAGTTCCTTAGCACGTAGGTTACGTCACGCCGCTGCCATCTCTCATAAATAAGGAACTATTCCCGTTTGACCGCAAGGAAAGACGCAAAAGACATATCAGAGACGCTGTTTGATTTCAATGAAGAAAGAAAACAAATTTCAAACTAGAAACCCTTGAAATCTTCACAGGTACAGCTAGTAATTTCATTCTTCTTCTTCTTCTTCTTCTTCTTATTATTATTATTATTATTATTATTATTATTGCTGCTGCTGCTGCTGCTGTTTTTGTTGTTATTGTTAAAGGAAACGTTGACCTCAGTTTCCAACAAAGTCGAAAAAGATTTTTGGCAAGCGTGAAGGATACCACGTTATGCATGCTTCAATAACTTTTGCAAACAAATATTGTCTGATTTGATTTAGCTGACGGGATAGAATCGCCTAGTCAGATGAAAAAGAATTAGAAAAAAATCACTGACAACAATTGCTATAATAGTCATAGCAACAGCAATAATAATAATAATAATAATAATAATAATAATAATTTACAAAAGGATAAGTGAAAGTGAAAGTGAAAATAAAAACCATGAAAGACAAGTATAAAAATGGGGAAGACAAGTAGATGGTGATGGTGGTGGGAGTTCCAACCAATGCTCACAATAATAGATATCATTTTATAAGTTATCAATACTCTATTTTCTTTTGACACGTTTTATTTTCCATTATATTCACCGCGTAATTCTATTTTGGGGTTTTCTATGACATAGACACTTAAATCCATGCATACGAACGTATTTGTCCGACTACATGAACAGACAGCTTACAAGTCGTATTCATGCGTACATACATACATATATATATATATATATATATATATATATATATATATATATATATATATATATTTATATATATATATATATATATTCTTAGTTTAGCCTACCTGTAACAAAAAAGACAAATAAGGTAAAATGGAGGTAGAAATGTTGTTTTACGAATTCTTTGTCGTGGGATCGGCCTGTCTACTTTGAAAATCATTCTAAAGAAACTTACCGGACTTAAAGGAGGTGCACAGGAACATGAAAGTGTTCACTGAGGAAAACGGCACCAAAAATGGAGTTCTAATCCCAATTGTAGCATTTGATTTTCACTTATCACTAATATCGATAAGTAATGCACGAATCTTTTTTGGTTAAAGTCAGATACATCAACAAATGGATCATGTCTGTGCAATGCAACGACAGTTACCAAAGGGGTTACCCAAGAGAACATAGTCGGTCATAAATGAGTTCAAACACAACCACTGGTGTTCATTAGAAATTCGTCATTGTGACAAGAAAGAAAGAAAGAAAGAAAGAAAGAAAGAAAGAAAGAAAGAAAGAAAGAAAAAGACAAAATTGAAAAAGAAAGAAAGAAAGAAGACAAAATTGAGAAAGAAAGAAAGAAAGAAAGAAAGAAAGAACGAAAGAAAGAAAGAAAAAAAATAGACAAAACAGATAGATAGATAGATAGATAGATAATGAACAGACGGAGAAAGAAAGAAAGAAAGAAAGAAAGAAAGAAAGAAAGAAAGAAAGAGACAAAAATGAGAAAGAAAGAACGAGACAAAACCTAGATAGATGGAGAGATAGATAGATAGAAACAAAGAAAAAAAATAAAATTGAGAAATAAAGAAAGAAAGCTAGAAAGAAAAAAAGAAATAGACAAAACATAGATAGATAGATAGATAGATAGATAGATAGATAGAAAGAAAAGACAAAATTGAGAAAGAAAGAAAGAAACTAAGAAAGAGAAAAAACATAGATAGATAGATAGATATAGATAGATAGATAGAAAGAAAAAAAAGAGAAAAATGAGAAAGAAAGAAAGAGACAAAACTAGATAGATAGATAGATAGAAACAACGAAAGAAAAGACAAAATTGAGAAAGAAAGAAAGCGAGAAAGAAACTAAGAAAGAGACAAAACATAGATAGATAGATAGATAGATAGATAGATAGATAGATAGATAGATCTGTAAAATGGTGATAGAGGAGTGTTCTACTCGACCAGACTTGCCCAATCGTAAGAGGCAGCAGTGTTGAAATATTCCTACTTACTGCAATTTTATTGAGCCACAAAATCGTAAACTTTGCTCTTGGTCTGCCATCAAAGAAGCTGCCTAACGACTTAATCATAGTTTACTGGAGCCAAGCTTGCCCTTCATAGACACAATGTCTCCATTTCTTGTATCATTGGGGCTTAGTTAAGCGCTGATACTTTGCCGTCCAGACTCGGTTGTGAAAACATCTGCGCTGTTAAACGACAGTGAAATCTTTGTTTTTAACTTTATTGACAAAGGCATTTTTGCTACTTCATTTAAAGACCCACTTTTCGTTAATAATAAAATGTATCATTAAAAGAACACACCAGTTCTGGAGATCCTATTTTCATTAGATAAGTTACACAATAAACTGAAACAGACTTTTGTTCTTATTTTAACTCTGTTGCGTGTGAGAGTTCAGTCCCTATCAATATAGCAAAAACTTATTAAATAATTAAAACGATAGATAGATAGATAGATAGATAGATAGATAGATAGATAGATAGATGTGGTGTCCCCCCTCTAAATGTCTATTAGACTCTTCCGCCTACTATAAGATTGGTAGGAGAGAAGTCTTCGGGGAACAGTGAACAGTGAATAGACCGAGCCCTATTTCATTCGATACACTCTCACTAGTCGTGAAATACTCTTCTGGTGTACTTACTGTTTAATATACGATATATCTGCAAACCTGTATTTTGTTATTACTGTTGTGGGGCTCTCCCCTTTTTACATAAGATGGACTCGTCCAAAGTATACTTATATTGACAGAGAGAATACCTGCGGTTGAGATACGTTGAGATACGTGGAGATACGTTGAGATACGTTAAGATACGTTGAGAGATACGGAGACAGACACAGGGTGTTCACAGACAGTTATACAAGAGTCCAGAGAGAGAGAGAGAGATGATTACGGCTTTACTTACAGAGACTTGTACATATACTTTCTACTAACCCGCATTCCTGGATTACTAATCTTCACTTCAAGTCTGTATTCTTACGTTTAATACACTTATTTTCTATCTCAATTACTGGCGTCGTTTATTTATTTGTGCAGGATTCCATTCACGGAATCCACAACAATTACTTAACCATTTACTTGGTTACAATAATAATGAACAGACAAATATAGATAGATAATTAGATAATGAACAAACTAGATAGATAGATAGATAATTGTTGTGGTGTCCTCCCTCTAAGAGCCTATTTTACACTCTTCCGTCTACTATAAATTTAGTAGGAGAGAAGGCTTCGGTGAAGAGTGAACTGTGAATAGATTGAGCGCTAGTTCATTCAACACATTCTCACTCGTCGTGTAATACTCTTCTTGTGTACTACTCGTTAATATACGATATATTTGCAAAGTTGGTTTTTGTTATTACTTAACCATTTACTTGGTCGCAACAATAATGAACAGACAGGTATAGATAGATAGATATATATGAATAGACTGAATTGTCTAAAGGCAGATGAAATTAGCCAGGATTCCCTGGCAAGAAGTTCAAACCCTCGAAGTATGTCTCCGAAACCACATACCTTCGATTCGACTGATGTTAATTTGATGGAGTGAAAAAGTGGATAAAAAATAATTATTTTTATGAATGTCCTCTGTTCCACTCGGAAGTTACTAACATAACATTACATATTATCATGTGAAATTAGGCAAGATTTCCTCACAAGATCAAATGTTCGATGAAAGTCCCCGAAACCACATGACTTTGATTCGGAAATTACTAACATATCCTTACACATTAGCAGTGATGTGAAAAGAACATCAGCTACCATTTCCGCGATTAGAATATTAGATACCAAAAAGACACATGTGACTCGCGAGCCACGTTACGACCACACCTTTCCAAGATCAGAGATACGTACAGGCTATGAGATCTTTTTAAAATAATATCGAGAAACACTGAACAGATTGTTTGCTGGAACTGGGAACCGTTTTTCGACAAGGAATCTTGGTAACAGTTTTTAGAAGAAAAAGAACGTTGCCATGAGAATTTGATATTAAAAGAAGATAATTTACTTTTAGCGAATTCATAGCAGGAGATAA